AAACCGGGGGCCATTTTGATTCCTGGATGAACACTGAATCTCTGAAAGAAAAGGGAGCAAGAGCCCAATGTGCGATGATGGAAAATGGAGGCATATGGATGAGTAGAGAAATTAGAAGTGAAGCGGATGCTTTAAATGTTTACTGGAATATAGAAATATGATGGGAAAAATGTAATATTTGTCCATCTAATGATTCTTTTTACGATGGATGTTCAAACGTAAAAGCACAGATGACCTAAAACTGGATATTTATTCAGTATTAAACCTTTAATTACCTGATAATCTACTGGGATCGGAGAGTGTCAGGAGGCAGTTCAGAACAAGATAAATAAATTTACACTTTAGATGAGACCAACAAGGTCAAAATGATTCAATTAGAACAAAATAAAGAGGTATTGGATAACAGTCAGAAATGTGGCAGCAGTCATAGAAAGAATGATGGAATCATTTAGATGGAGCTACTTCCTTTTATTAATGTTCAAAGTTACCCAAAATACTTCAGTGAAATTAGATTCACGACATTGAAGTGTTTTTCAGAACACATTGGAAAAAAATTTAGCTAAAAAGCCCTAAATGTTTGGAGAAGAAGCTGAAATTTCTGTTCCTTGGTGTGTTGAGTTTCTGTGAATAAAGAAAGAAAAGTGGAAGTTTAAGTCATAATATGCCACAGTTGGAGTCCACAGAAAGACCATCCAACCTGAGGAGAGGACCGCTGCGACGCACAAACATGGAGGAAGAAAAAAAGAAAACATTCACACTGCTTAAAGACAGGGACAGAAAATCGGCCACGAAAAGACGAAAGGACAATAAAGCTGAACTTCACAGACAAATGCAGAACATACTTTGATTTTGGCCATAATGTTTTTTCAAAATACTTCTAGAGCAATATATTAGTAAAATGAATACATGTTTGAATAAGAATTACAGATTGACGAGATGAGTGTAGAAGTACAACAGCAGCTACTGCATCAGTTGGTGTGTTTAAAGCTGCAGATAGCAATACTTTCATAGACAAATTTCTTCATTTTTTCCTTTACTCTGCAAGAGGGTCATTTTAATAATGCAAATTTAGTTCTAAATTGTTAGCGTTTGAAAATAAAACTGATTAGCGCTAACTAGAAACCCCTGCACACAATAATAACAAGCGTTCAAAGTTAGTAGTGGCAGCTGATTTAAGTTACTTTTCAGGATGCACATTAAAACTGGAGCTTATTTTCTTTTTAACGGCTTGGATTATTTGTGAAAAGTCAGAAAACTGCAAATCTGATTATTTTCGTTTGTCCAAATATACCACATAAATGGTTTTAGCATGAAAGTAAAGAAATGAAAGCTCATTAGCCCCTCATCCTGTCATGATTTGTGGTTTTCTTTGTCAGATTTGAACACGGTTGAGTTTGCATCATAAAGTTGGTATCTAACAACTGGTCCCATTTCAGTTTATCTAAACGATGTGTTTTAAAAGAGATTTGTCTCCAAACAACTTTAAAAGTGTCAAAACAAAAGTCCAAGAAAATTACCAAAATTATTTTGATTAATATTTAAGGGCTTGAACGCATCGTTATTCATATATGGCTGAAGAGGAAACAAGAACATTTGGACCTGGAAGAGAAACTACATTGGATGTTTTTTAAAAATCCACTGATTAATTCTGGGCTTAAACATAATATTTTGTCACACTTTTTTTCCTTATTTTCTTAAATGTCTACTACTGTAAAGTCATCTTTCTAATTTTTTTTACTTTTTGTAAACCTGCATTCATTAATTTACAGGTCACATTTCCATTATGAGTTCCATGATTTAAGTATAATTATCCATCATTAAATTATCTATTATCAATTGTCTATCTTTGGAAGAATTTCGTTTTTTTACGTTCCGTTTTTGTTCTTCAACTGTAAACCAAAAAGTGTTAAAGACGATTCTTTCATAGCTCATAACAGCTATTCAGAGACATCTCTGTGTGTCGTGTTTTATTTTGATAAAGATTGGTCTTATTTTAAAATATTCAGAGGGAATAACTCAATCTTCCAGCAAATTGTTAATTCAAAATATATTTTTTTGGGTTATTTCTCTGTTATTTTATTTTTTATTTAAAAACCCGGACATTAAAAAAAGGCAAAGTTTTTTTAGAAGAAATTTAGATTAAAACAAATGATAAGCCAAGAGACTTTATTCTAAAATAGAGAATAAGCAGCATAAAGGAAAATCCACTAGAGATGAAAGACTTGAAATCTTTAGTTTTGACAAAAAAATATTTCCTACTACCAAATTAACCTATTAAGCCTGTTTGAAAATAATAGAAATCTTAAAATATATATATTTTTCCTCTTACTTGGGCAAAAAAAAATGCTAACAATAAATGGCTAGAGAATCCAAAATCTTCAAAATGACACCAAAATAAGAGACCAAAAACCAAACATTCATAAAACAGTTTCATATTTTTGTTTGAAGCGAGTTAGTCTTTAAAGAGTAAGAATTAGTGATGAGTTTAAATTTATTAATTTTGCAATTCAGTTACAGTTCCTTCAGAGCTGTTTTTTCCTAAAATATTTTCAGAATTTTAAGAACAGATAATTATTTTTCGATGAAAGGCCCTTGCAATAGAATTACAGGAGTTTAAGATTTTCTTCATGTACGAAAAAGCGAAAAATTAAACATTTAAAATATCTCAGCGTACAACCTAAAAGATCTCTGGTCATCAGTTTCTGTTGCCGCCATGATCGAACAGAGCAGACGACATGGCGACTTTAAGGTTCCTGCAAACCAGAACTGATCTGTCTGTCGTGCTTGAACAGATCCAGTTCCAGAATGGTGATTAGAAAGAAAATAAAAATCTCTAAGCCGGACCTAATCGGCCTGAACCACAGAACAGTCACGGCGGGACGAGAATCAGCAGGTAGATTGGTAGTGGAGGAAAGTCATTTCAGGGTGATTCATGAACATCCATTAGTAATAAATTAGCTGATGTTCCCCTTGATACAAATATATTCATTTTCCTGTGAAAACAGCAGTATTTTTTGTGGAATTGGAGACCTGGCGCATTCCTCCTGCCGAGCTATTACAGGAACACTGCAGGGACACAAATGATCAGGCAGCTGGAAACTCAGGATGCTGCTTCTCACATCTGGAAGACCACACACACTTAAACTCTTTATGAGAGCAGCGAATAACAGCTTTTCCTGCTGCAGGACCTCCGAAGATCAAGCCTTCCCCTGTAGCTTTCTGCTGGACTCATTACCGTGCTTTTATTTTGAAAGAACTGAATAAAAAAGTTTTTTAAAAATCCCAAAAGAGAAAAAAATCTTCCTTAGTAACACCTTCACATCATAGCCCTGCACCACCACAACAATCCGCAAACATCGTCGCCTCCTATTGGATAGATAGGGAACCAATCAGAGCGGATAACGCTCTGCTGCTAGGTGCAGAAAACTGAGAAATCTGAGTATACATCCAAGGTCAGAGGTCGCCTAAAGATTCAAAATCTTTACAACAATTTAACAAGAAAAAGCAGAAAATAAAATATTTGTTTTTGTTGAAGCAGTAAGAAACAGCTAAAATCTGAACAGTTGTAAAATTAAGAAAAGTAGCCAATATGGACGACGGTCATGATGATCCAAGCGGATCAGAGTCGACCTTCTGAAAAATAAGGCAGAAAAATGAACCCATTTCCCAAAAACCATGGAAACATCCTCAGATATTCTGCTGAACCAACAAATGAAAACCAAACAGATTTATCTTAACAAAATACAACAAAAAAGCAGCAAATCTTTAAAGGCAATTTCTGGAAAATAGTTGATATTTTGGGCTTTAAAAAAAATTTAAATTACTTGAACAAAAACTTCTTTGGATAAACTAGCTCGTTGTTCATTTAAGAAAACGGTTAGAAACACATTTATAAAAGGCCGGATTTTTTTAAATACATTTTCTTCCATAATTTCTCAGAATTCAAATATTTTAGATCTTTTGAACGTCCAGTTGGGCCAAACAAGACATCAATTTGATCTCAATGAAGTGGCAAGAACATGTTTTTCTCTTTTTTCTTCACCACTGACAAAAATATGCATATATACCTATCAGTTAACATTTAAAAAAAATCCCAGATAATTATTATCGGTTACTACGTGGATTCTAGTGAGAATGACCAAAATTACAATAAGAAAAGTCGTAGGATATCTTGTAAAGTCTGACCAGAAGCTTTGAAATATAATTAATATCATTGTTGACTTTCAACAAACAGAACATTACTTTAAAATTTACCACAAAAAAAAAGGTCATCAGATATTTCATGATTAACATCTTCATTCCTTTTCAGATTTTTTTTTTTCATATAACTTTCCCTAAACTCTGATTTCAGCCTCAAAAATTTCTTTTTTAAGAGGCTATTTGTGGCGTTTAGAAGAAAATCTCCATTAGGGGTAAATTTGCCTTCTTAAGTTGCATGGACTTTAAAGGCTGGCAGATTTATTCCAACACTGGGCTGAAAGGAAAAAAAAATCTGCAGCAGAATCATTTTGTTATTTTACCTGTTTGTTTACTTTATAAGAACTGTTCAAATTGATTAAGTCAGAATGGTTCAACACAAAATGCAACCTAAGCCCTTTTTGCAGAGAAGGTGTGCATCTTCAATGCCTTTTCTGCTGTTTGGAGCCCAAATAGGGTCAGAGGTTCAAGGATCCAAACCGAGACGCTTTCTAAAGTGCAACCTCTGACATCTTTAAGTTATTTTCAGTTTGATTTGCAGGAGCCCTGTAGCTCACTGACCTCCATGCAACAGAAAGTGGACCATTTTATTTCTCTTATCCATGCAGAATCCAGTGTTTCAAGTTTGGAGCGTCAGGATAATTTCTGCGTTGAAGGAAACTTTTTCTCTCCAGTTAGACTCAGAGTTGTTTTTTTATGCGTCCTGCAGATGGGAGGTCTTCAGGTTCACATTCATAATTTAAATATGTTCCTCTTGGGAGCGCAGATATAACCGGGAACAGCTTAGAATGAACGGTTCTTACCTGGGGTTGGAGCTGTTCCAGTAGACAGCGTACCGGTCCGAGATGAGGCGGTCGTCGGTGACGGCGCAGCAGAGTCGCAGCAGCAGCCCGAGCAGCAGCAGCGGTGGAGGCAGCAGCAGCGACGGCCGCCCGGAGCGCTCCATGAGCGGCAGCGGCGCGGCGCGCTGCGTCCCGGCGGACATCCGCGTCTCTTCGGGTTCAGCTGTGAGCGCGTTGTAAGCCGCGGGGGGAACCAGAACAGAAGCACATGAAAAACTTCTCCGGTCCGACTTTGAAAGGTTCCTCAGTTACTCTCAATCCACAGATATTAAAACTATCTTATTTACAGCAGGTTGGCTTCATTCTGCCGCTCAGAGCTGAACTGGATCCAAACAGGCGCTCAGATGATCATCCATCTCATTCAGCTGCAGGACTCACGACTTCATGCGTGGAGAACTAACAGCTCCACGGAGACACTTCACCGCCTAAAGTCAAGAAAATATTCCAAACATTCATCCAGGAGGACAACCTGCTCCACAGTTTCATTTTCAAACACTCAGAACCGGGTCAGAACCGCAGTCCACGCGTCCTGCTCATAGCTGGAAACTCAACTCAGTCGCGCATTTACGCGCAGAGTCTGTGGCTGAAGCCAGAGCCCAGCGCTCATTCAGGATTTATGTTTTCTCTTATGTAACTCTGAAGTCTCCCTCTCCGGAGCTCTGCTGCGACCTTTCTCCAAACTCTCCGCGCTGCTCCGTTAGTCTGCAGGCGCCCTGCAAAGTTCAACTCTGTGCAGTGTGTCTCAACTTTCGGAAGAAGAACCGAACCGAGAAGAACCTGTGCGCACGGGAACAAAGAGTTGAAAAGTTGACTCGAAGCTACAAGGGGAGCGTTTGGCTTGATTACCGGCTCAGCTCCAAACTGCTGCTCCCGGTGCGCCCCCGGTGGGCGGGGTTTGTGTTTCTGCTTTGCTTTAACCCCGCCCCCATCCAGCGGAGATACCCCGGTGTAAAAATGTGTGGAAACTTGGAACACTATCCGGAATCACAGCGGTGGCCAAACCGAGCAGTGTTTCTTTCATGCAGCAGTGTTGATGCTTTAGTTTTCCAGCCTCCAAAAACATCCAAACAGTAGCTTGTGGTCTACACTATCCACTGTCCCAGTGCAGTTTGGTTAAATACAATCAAGTTGTCAGTTTATGCAGGGGCGTCAGCTGACCCAACACTATAGGGGGCAAAATAGGGCACCCTATAGTGGGGGGTGCCCTATTATTAAATTATTTATTTTTTAAAAAGCATGGGCACAGATAATTAATGCAAGCATGCAAGAAAATATTTTATAGCACTTATTTATTATAATAAATCATCATAAATAAATTGTACAATCAGATTGTTATTTTCTGCATAATTAAATATTTACCTGAACCAAACTGAATTGAATTGACTCACTTGTGAACTTAATTGTATATCTCTAATCTACTACTGATGAAGGCACAATTTATCTTCATTAAATATATTTCAGCAAACATGAACTTGAAAACTTGAAATGTGCAACTGTAAAAGGAAAAACAAAAAAAAAACACCTCTACATACATACACATGTCTGTGTTTATTATTTCTATTTCAGCCCATTCTATGATGGTTTGATGGTTATGATCCTATAAGTGTGTATATCATGGGCAGTAAAGATGGGAGAGCTGATTGTTAATTTTTTTTTACAGTAAACGGTGGCGTCCCGGGCTGGCTTCATTTTTGTGAACTGTCGATCTATTGTGACTGGCTTATTTTGGAGAGTTCTCCTCTCTCAGCTCCACTGTTGGAGCAGAGCTGTGTAAGTGGAAAATTAATTAATAAAAAAATCAGTGCCCCAGGAATACCCAGACACCGCAGATCCACAACGGGGCACGTAACCCTATGAAAAGGGTCTGCCGACTCCGATGAGTTTAGGGGGTTACCTCACTGAAAAACAGTCCAACTAACTCCCACTGTGATTTCACCCAGTGACATCCACAGATGACAATGGTTTTCTTCATGTTATGTTAGTTTGTTGTATTGAAAAGCAAAACCTGTCCAGATTTTTATTTTTATCTTTAGATTAATTAACATATTTCATCTCAGAACATCTTCTATATTGTGCTTCAATTTTATTTTCTAAATCTATATTTTTCCAGAGATTGTAGCGATTATTACATGGATTTATGTGAAAACACGAGATCCCAGAAAAAATATTTATGTATTTACTTATATAATATAATATCTAGAGTAGTGTAGTAGTATCTTTAGAAATTAAAGCAAAATTAAGACACTCTAACCAGAGAATGCAGCTCCAACTTTAATTGGTAACAAACAACTGAATTCAGTTTTCCCACCTTAAGGAATTTAACTTGGTAACTTACGATCTAGATATATTAAGTTTGATAAATTTGAATAAATTGTTACCAGTTAAAGCAATTGATTGAAGTTGGAGTCGCTCCGTAAAAATTCAAAAAATATCCACTGGACTTGGTTTTCAAGATTTGAAGACGTTTCGCCACCTCTCCAGGAAGCTTTCTCAATTCAAATGTCTGGATCCGCAGTGAGTTTGAGTCTTATATAGACAACGCCTTGTATCGCTTGGAAACATGCAATAGAAACCGATGAATGGGTCGTTAGTTCCATCGTTAGCCTGTAATAGATAGAGATATTACAGGCTAACGATGGAACTAACGACCCATTCATCGGTTTCTATTGCATGTTTCCAAGCGATACAAGGCGTTGTCTATATAAGACTCAAACTCACTGCGGATCCAGACATTTGAATTGAGAAAGCTTCCTGGAGAGGTGGCGAAACGTCTTCAAATCTTGAAAACCAAGTCCAGTGGATATTTTTTGAATTTTTACGGAAGGACTATGACCTGGATGACTGAGAACCTTCATCAGCAAGTTGGAGTCGCATTCTCTTTTTAGAGTTTAATACGAGCAATTAATTAGGACATCCCCATATTTATTCCCATGGAAAAGGGTTTCAGTTTTATTTCAGTGATGAAGGATTGTCCCTGTGCTACTCCTGAGTGTAAACCATGGTGAGATCCAAAAGAGCTGACTGAGGTCTTAAATTGGAGCAAGCCAGGAATCTGAGGATTAATTTAAAATGGTCTCTGAAAAAATTGGAAATGAAACAGTGTTCTATAAGGATAATGGTCGGTCGATATTCTGAAGACCTCTTAACACGTACAGATCTGGCTATCCAAGGAGTCTGAAAGCAGAGTAAGAGATACTTAATGAAGTCCCTATCTACATGACCGACATTTAGATGATTCTTGATGTGAAGATGCATGCTTGAAAAACAACCAGACAAAGGTAATTTTCACAAGAGATGTGGAAAGAGAGAACTTTTGCTCTTCAGCAACAATTAAAGGCTGGGACAATATTGACAAAGGAAAACAGAGAAAAAAAACCTTAAGTTGTGCTCCTAATAGGCAAAATATTAATTTCTGGGGAAGCTTATGGAGGGTGTGGGGACTCCTTTGTCCTCAAAACAAACTCAGCCTTCCATGTGATTCCAATCTGAATCCATAAAGCAAAGAGTTACAGTTATTACGCCTGTTTATAGTGCAACCATAGCTTACTAAAGCATTGAAAGGCCTATGGGTTCATGTTGAGGGCAAGGGCAGAAATTTAATTTACTGGTACAATAAAACAAAACACTGAACAATGCTGAGTGATTGGTGCCCTATGTATATATATATATATATATATATATATATATATATATATATATATATATATATATATATATATATATATATATATATTTATATAAATATAAAAAAGGGAGTAACATTTATAAAAAGCTTAACATTAGGGCTTCTAGCGTGTGGATGGAATGAAATGTCAACCATCGATCAATAAATGTCTGATCCAGATGGAGGCATATTAAAAGTCTTTTTGGTAGCAAAATCCAATTATTTCAAATTTGTAGGAAGTCCTTTAGTCAAAAACAAAACATTTGTTTTCATTAAATTGCTTTCACTGTATTTTAAACACACAGGACCAAAATCTTTCAAAGACTTTTACAAAAAAGCAGACTTGGCTGCATCCATTTTTTTTAGATTTTGCAAAATATAGCAGGTGATTCAAAGAAGCAGCCGTCCTCTGTTCTATATGAGGGAATTCTAAAAACCTATCAAATTGCATCACTTTCTCTTATCTAGACCAACATGTGATACACTGTTAGTGTTTTGGACAAATAATTATCTATAGATTCATACAAATGACAAACTTTTTTAGTTTCAGTAAAATCCTGCATGTTTAGTTTATTCTTGAGCAGTTAGAGAAATAAATTCAACATGACTTGTTTTATAACTCAGTGATTTCGGCATGCATGTCCGAAGGTTAAGAAAATCATATCTCAAAACCAAATGGGTCCATTAAAAAAAAGGTTCTGGTAGATTTGATCAGCATGTTTTTGCTTCTTCTCAGCTTTTATAATTGGGCTGCAATCTGGTTCCTGCTGGTCGATGTTTCTCCAGATTGGGTTTTATAAGACTCTCTGTTTTTCTTCAGTGTCTAATAAAACTTTTAGCACCTGCTCTGGTCAGATTCCATGTTTAAGTGGGTCTAAGTGGCCCCTGTAGGGGTACAAATGTCTCCAACCATGAGGAGTATGCATCTAGGCTTAGAGTTTAAGGTCCTACCATTCCTCTCCATCGTGATAAAAACTCCCACTGTTCTAAAATAAAGCATTCAGTCACTCTGGAAGGATTTTAAAACAAATATGGAAAGAGAGTCCATAAATTTTAATATAAATAATAAATCATTCAATTTGTTTGTGTTTATGTCTTTACTGGTTCAACAACTTTATACTAATGTATATTGTATAATTTGTTAAACCTCACTGTTAACAAGTGAGCTATAATTAAATTAACCTGAAAGAAGATGAACTAGTTTTATTTAGCTGATATTATGAGATGATTGTTTCTGGATGAGCTAAATATCAATGAACTGAATTAAACTGAATATTTACTCTAAATGTATTCAATTTATACTCACCTGATTTGTTACATAATTTTTTTTTTTTTTTTTTTTTGAGTATTTGGATTCTGTTTTGTAATAACAAAAACAAACAAAACAAGAAGGATACATGGTTGATCTATTTTTTGCATTTCTTTTATAAAGATTTGTTGAATATTTTGAGGATAATTGAATAAAAACATAGGAGAGGGGCTTTAGGAAATCCCTTTATTGTCCCAATATGGGGAAATTGTGGGAAATGTATTACTTGATGCAAATTTAACAAGAAATAATAATGTATTTCACCTAATAATACTTCATATTACAAAATGATAATAGTCTATCATTTTAAAATGAAAAAAAAAAAGAATAAGATACCAAACAAATATTTGTAAAGATCCTAAATGATCCTTTTCTGGTTTACCCAATCCAACTACCATAAAAAGAAAGGAAATTAGTGTTTGATCAAATTTTCTTAACTTTTCATTTTGGCAATATTAAAATTAATTAAATATGGATGCATTTTAATCAATCAACTTTAACATGAACCCACTGGATAAGGTTTGAAACAATTAGATAGTTTAAAAATAATTATGAAAGGTAAAAATAATTATAAAAGGATTAAATACATTTCCATAAGAAAATTATTCAATTTATATATAAGATATGGAAAAAATACAGGGCATCCATATGAGAATAAATAAGACAGTTGATACAGTTTGCCAAGAATACAGAATAATATGCAAAAACACACAGTGACAAAAACCAATACAAGGTTAAAAAAAAAATTAAAACAAATATAAGATTTTATGATAATCTT